AGAGAGAGAGAGAGAGAGAGAGAGAGAGAGAGAGAGAGAGAGAGAGAGAGAGAGAGAGAGAGAGAGAGAGAGAGAGATGTACAATACCACACATACGCTCCCACCACGATTTGTTACTGGACGTCGAGACGGGAAGTCAATCTAAACATCTCAGGTCTATTAAAAAATTGAGGTAAAAAAAATATATATACATAAATTGAAAAACGATGTAGAATTGGTGCCTACGGAGACTAATACGAATTTTGTTTTAAACAAAACAACGAACCAAGTCAATTACACAATTTCGTTCAACAAGGCAGAGATGAAGTTGTAATTATATCACTGGATTCTCCCCCTCCAATTGCACCCCTCCCGCCTAACTCATCCTCACCCTTTTAATCAATATTAGCGGTTAAGGTGTCGAGGTTGCGTGAACGGTGCATTCCCTCCACATCCCCTCCCTTCCCGCCATCCCCACTGGCCCCTCCCTGTGGTGTAAGCGGTGATTGTGCATCACCTTTGCCAGTGCATAAAGACGGTTGCAACTGATTCTCCGCCACGCTCGGCCCAACATCAGATTCTGACTCGATCTCGGATCTCCCTTGCATTGCAGCATTTGTTATCAATAAACTCCCGTACGTGGCACCTGCATCCGACGGCAACGTCGTTGACACCTCGATGGGCGGGGACGATTGTGCCGAGGCGGCCGAGATGGATTTTTCCGATATTTGCTGCATTGACGTCATGTCAACCTCTTGAGGCCGGACAACAGTAGTCCCGTCATCTCCCCTGTACCCTGCTTGCACGGCCATGGAGGCCGGCTCAGCCGAAGGCATGAAATCATGAGAGCAGCTCCCCTCCAAGGTTCTGGCGGTTTTATCAACCTTCCAGTTGATTGACCCGCGTGAGGGACTCGAGCGCAGGGCATAAAATTTGTTGTTGTACTCCAGTTGTCGATTGTCGCACAAGACATGAAACAATTCTTCGGCCTTGGCTTTGATGGCGGCCTCGCTCTGCCCTGGATTCTCGACGCGCACGCGATGTAGGATCGTGAGCTCCATCGTTTTTAACCAGATGTTCTTTGACATCCAGCGAAAAGTCTTCCAACCGCTTGTGTATTTCACCGCCATCTTCCACTCCCCATCTTGGATGCACGGCTGTAAAACGCCCTCATGCCATATGATGTCATGGCCCCATTGATCCTCGCATGTGCGGGTGTGTTTGCCCTCCAAGAAATAAATCGTATTCGGGTCAGCACAGTAGCCTGGAGGAATTGCATCGCCTGGTGCGAGCGTCGACGCCTCGCCTGGTATCTCAATGTCGTCTTCTTCATTGCCACCGCATCTTTCATTGTCTTGCAATGCAGCAGTCTCTGACAAGGCCACCATTGAGGTGACGCTTGGGGCGGCCACCGGGATGGACCCTTCGTGCGAATGGACAGTTCCGTCATCATGAGCTTGCACCATTCCTCCGCGCGGAACCTCAGCACATGTGTCCTCGCCCAGTTCGAGGTAAGAGTCCGAAGAATCTTCCTTGTTGTCGACGGGGTTAAAACCATCGCCCAATTTCGCGAGCTCCGCGTAGTCCTTGGACGTCAATTGGTCTTTGTGAAGATTRAACTTGAGGATCTCGCATCGAGCAACAAAAGTCTCAAAGACGCGAGTGAGAGCACCGTGATAATGTTTGAGGGTCTCTGTTGCCTTTGCTTTCCTGTATATATATTTCCCGTCAAGCCATCCTTGTGGCATATCGCGGAACAGGTACTCCCACACCTTCAGTCTCTTAGGCCCCAACTTGTGGAACATGTCCCTGTTCGGGCGATGTTTGCAACACGGTTTCTCGACGTGGCAGTTGAATCTGTCGTCCTTGACAAGTATATCAATGAACTTTGTCAAGTATGCAATGTCCTTTGCCGACTCGTCACAGGCAATGACATTATTTCCTGCTTGTAAGAATTCCCACACAAGACCCGCATGCGCCCTACCCAATAAAAGCACACCTTCCGCCTCCTCGACGAATGACCCGCACAACGAACGCAACTTGCCAGGCTCTCGCTCCCAGATGGAATACACCACACTTTCATCGCCCTCTATGCCAACGTGTTTCCCCAGACACTTCCCGAACAAGGCGGGGTGCGACCGTGACCTTTCTGAGTTTCCCTCCCTTCGCGTGTAGGACAATGGTCATCATGTCTCGACTCGCCGTAGCGATATTGCCATACCTCATGATGTCATTCGATGGCCTGTCCACCCGTTTCCAGGTCCCGAGGATCAGTTCGATGTCCTCCCACTGGAATAAGCAACGCAGAACATCACTTTGCACCTTTTGCGGTGCGAAGACAAAAAAAAACAATTAAGGTCACAACACTTAGTCATCATAGAGTGCAGAGCGTCGAACTCTTGAGAGGTCCATGTCGTGCAGAAGTTAGCGGGGGAGATGTCAAGGATGACGTCCCTGCAGGTCATTTTTTGCGTCGCAGCGACGATGTCGTCTGGCGCAGCAAGCACTTCCTTCAATGGCATGCACACCAATAGCAATGTTGTTTGTTTTTTAAGTTTATCCCACACGATATGACATGCGCTGGAGGCGACCCGTTTGAGGTGTATACAAACACCTTAAAGTGGAACGGAGCCTCCTTATACATTGTCGCCGTAGGGCCCAAGCCTAATCCTTGCCTTACCTCCTCCACCCCTCCAAGTCGTCGAGGGACCGTCTTCACTTTGCTGACATGCAGCTTGTCCCGTTCCTTCTCCCATTCAGCTGCACACAGACCGTTCGGCCCATATCTGTTCTCGAGGTCCTTGTATGACATGAAGAAGGCATCATTCCACTCATCGTCCACCCTTCCCTCGGCGCGAAAAACAACGTAGTTAAATATACGGACCATGTACCGTTCCTTGCGCATGATGTCGAGGAGGCACTCCATATTCACTCTCGGAGGCATGGCCTTGACGTTCGTCGCGACCACCTTACCTTTCATGAGGAGGAGCAGTGCAACTTCCCTCTCGCGGCACGTCAAATCCCCAAAATTTTTGAAGTAGGAAGGACAGAGATCCTTCCAGGACACGGTGGAGCCTTTGGGACCATCTCTCGCGTATATGCAATGGTATAATGTTCTTTGCCCCTTCGTCTCATCGGTGTACGGGCCTGGCTGGCGCCCCTCCATCCTACCCGGCATGTCAAGCGGTATTTTACCATCGCCAACTGGCAGCTTCCCCTCGTTGAACATCTCGAAGAACTTCTCGACCAGTGGCCACACAGCCTCGGTGGATGTGGCGAGGTTCATGTAGCCACGGAGTTTATTGCTCCAATCCTTATTGTACTCATTCTCGAGCGCTTGCTTCACGAACGCCTTGTCGCATGCCTTCCCCATGGAGACCCTTAAGAAATTCTGCCACTTCTTTTGGTACGCAACGGCGACCTCATCCTTATCGCTGACCTTGCCTTTCGGGGCCTCGATTCGATGGTTATCGATCCACCATTGCCTCATATCACGGACAGCATCCTCGAAGGACAACATCATGGCCCGATTTTCGCGTGTGTTGTCGAAGGCGGAAACATTGAAATACCCTCGCGTCTGCTCATCTCCAAAATAGACGACCCGCACCTTAGAGTACGCGCGAAGGCCATAGACGTCGACTGCCGGAGAGCCCTTTTTTACCAATGTCTTCATGGCCTCGACCGTATGCTGACCACAGATAGCATACCAATCGGACTCCGAGGAGTCTCTTTCGAAGAATTCGGTCGGTGTTATCCGCCTACCCTGCCCGCCAACGATGTCGTTGCGGTCAATCGGCGCAAGCACGAGGTCAGGCCTATCCCACACCCCTGGTTCCGTGGTGATGGAACTCTCGATGACATTCACGATGCCTCACACAATGTTCGCAGACAAAGAGCGGTGGTTGAAAAGAATATTCCCACAGGGAATGCGTTTGGTTTTCATGACGTCCACAAGAACAGGAAGGACTTTTTGCTTAGCAAAACCCCGCTCGTCCTACTCGAGGAAGAAACAACGCGTCGTGTCGATGGGCGCAGCGTGCTGAAGCGGTTCATCACCATCGTCGGGCATGCGAGGGCCCACTCCCTCGCCCTCATCCCCTGAGTCCCGCAATTCTTCTGCCCTCCCTATCTGCTTACCTTTTCTTGCGCCACCACGGTCGCCGCCACGACCGCCAGATCTCCCCCCTGGCTGTTCTTTCGAGGAGGTCTCGCCTCCTGGGATGCCACCAGAGCTCCACGAGCCTCATTAACAGCGTCAGTCCTCGCTTGTCTCTTGTGAGCGGAAGCAGAAGGAGAAGTTTCTCTTGTCCTTTTCCTCGACTTTGATCCTTCGTCCTCCTGCGAGTCATGCCCACCCTGACTCCCGCCTTGCGAATGCTTGATCGCAGGGGACGATAAGGGCCGACCAACAGCCGCTCCCACAGAACCGGTGGGGATGTCGCCAGGGCCATGCTCCGACGTGACACCGACGTCGTCATCGCCAAGCATGTTTTGGTCCTGCATATTCTCATCCCCAACGTCCATATACTTGTCATCACCATCGTCTTCACGTGGACCGCAGCTTCCCCCATCTTCTTCCTCCTCGTTTCGCTCAATGAGGGCAGTCGCACCTTCCTGGGCACTGTCACGCGGAGCATTGCATCCGTACAGATTTCTGTCATCGTACTCCGTAGCCTCGTTGGAACATTGAGCGATATTGTGACCTCCCCTCACCGTGGGCAAGGGCGAGGGCGACGCGGCTGGCAAAGGCAGAGTTGGACAAGCAGCCAACTGTTTCCTCTTCCCAACCGGCGCGGATGGCGTCTATCGCAATTTCCTCGAGCTCGTGACAAAGGGCACGAAAGCGCAGTCGGCTTGCCGGTCCATAGGCAGCCTCGAGAAGGCTTCCCTGTACTCCTTTACAACGCCTGGCAGTTGGTCCGCCGGGCTGCTGAATTTCACCAAGGGTTTGGTGAGCTCCAAGGAACTTTCAACGACAGGAAGGCAGCCAGTGACGCGGTAGCCGTTCATTCTACTGAGGAACTGTTCCGCAGTCAGCATGCGAAGCTCGGTGCCGTCCCCGCGCACGTCAAACGCTTTCAGCCTTGAAAGAGCCGCAAGTGAAGGCCGACCTTCTTGTCTTCCTTGACCCAATTTGTGCCATCCTTGTCGAAAACCGACGTAAGAAAGAAGGTCCTGAACGACCTCCCGTCGTAGGTATTGTTGGCGCTCTCAGATTTCTCAACACCCTCACAACAGTACCACGTCGCACAATTGTCGTTGCTCAAGAAAACGACGGCCCCACACCCAGGTCTATGCAGACCACCAACCCAGTCCAAAGCCCATGGTTTGTTGTTGCAGATTTTTGACCTGCTATATGCCCGAGAGGACGAAGCAGCAGGTTGACCTAGAGGGCACAAACAAAGGAAACGCACAAGCAAAGAACAAATGAGGAACAAACAGAAGAGCTTCGCATGTGGAGTCGACCCTCGTTTCTGGAAAGGGGTCCGGCGTTCCCTAGACGCCCGCCCCCCCGACCCTCGTTTCTGAAAGGGGGTCCGGCGTTCCCAGAACGCCCGCCCCCCTCGGGGCATTTATGAAAGGGGGTCATTTGCTCCCAGAACGCCCGACCCCCCACCCAATCTGAAAAGGGGTCCGGCATTCCCAAGACGCCCGACACCCCGACACCCCGAACCTCATTCCCTAGATGTCCGACGTTCCACGACCGTCGTGTGCGCGGGTCTGGCGTCCCGTAAATAGCAGACCCCACCAGCGTGCCTGTCGGCACGGTAGTTGGCCGGACCCCTCCCTCGCCCACGTCCTCGACGGAACCCCGCGGCGTTTCATGTCCGTCCCTCCCCCTCCCTGTAGCAGCACCGAGGGGGGTCCAGCGTTCCCGGAACGTCGGACCCATGTCGGTGCTGCCAGAGAGTAAGGGGCCCCCTCCCTCCCCGTCGCCGGCAACAGCACCAAGGGGATCCGGCGTTCCGGGAACGCCGGACCCCCTTTGAGCTGCGGGGGAAGAAGTGGGTCCGTCCTCACCCCTCGATGGCCACAGCACAAAGGGGGTCCGGCGTTCCCGGAACGTCGGACCCCCTATGTGCGGCGGGGGAGGACGGGAACGTCGGACCCCCTTTGTGGCGCGGGGGAGGACAGGGGTCCGAGATCCGATCCGACGATGTGCATAGCACGAAGGGGGTCCGCCCCATCCCCTCGATGACCACAACACCAAGCCCCCTCGGTGCCCCTCGCTCCCCCGAAGCACGAAGGGGGTCCGGCGTTCCCGGAATGCCGGACCCCCTCTGCACTGCCGGGGGGGGGGGAACAAGGCGAGACGCACCCCTCGCTCCCCCTCGGTGCCCCTCGCTCCCCCGAAGCGCGAAGGGGGTCCGGCGTTCGTTCCCGGAACGCCGGACCCCCTCCGCACTGCGGCGGGGGGGG